CACCTGCTCTCCTGACTACTCAGAGCCTTTAGTTGTTCTGGCCCGAGACTTTGGAAAGCACTTCCATCAGATCTCCGGACTACAAACGCTCTCTCCACTCTTAAATCACGTCTTAAAACTCATCTATTTAAAACTGCATGCCCTACATCATGATTCCATCTTAGTCGATTTTTTACTGTTTACTTTTATACTTGCTTTTATACTTTCATACTTGTTTTTTTATTTTTCATTTACCTTGTGTTTTTATTGTACTAATTAAGGGGACCTTGAGGGTCTTTAAAGGCGCCTATAAATAAATAATGTATTACCACCATTACCATCATTTATTTATGTGCTTAAATCACAATAAAACATTTACATATTAAAGAGTTACACATATGAATAATAAATAATTTAACTATTGGCATGTAAGTACAAAAAGCACAATTTCAGTTCACAATTGCAATATTAACAATTTTTAAATTATTAGTATACTATGACTGATTTTTGCTCATTAAATATTTTTTGGTGTTCTTCTCAGGTTTAAACAATATGATAAAACACTTTGGGGCAAATATACACAGCATTAATCCAAAGCTGGAGGCCAGAATAGCAAAAATTTCCACAACCACTGTAAATTTTCCAGGAGAGCTGACATATGCTGGTATAAAGGTGATCCACACTGCACAAAATATTAGCATGCTGAAGGTGATAAGCTTGGCTTCATTGAAATTATCAGGTAATTTGCGGGCTAAAACAGCTAAAACAAAGCAAAAGGCAGCAAGTAGGCCTATATAACCGAGCACAGCCCAGAAGCCAACAGCAGAGCCTAATGCACATTCCAGGATGATTTTCTCCTTGTATGTGGTTAGATTTTTTATTGCAAAGGGAGGGCTCACTACCAACCAAATAGTACATATTAAAACCTGAATAAAGGTGAAAGACATAACAGTCATTCTTTGCTGTGGAGGACCAAACCATTTTATCACATTACTACCTGGAAGTGTCGCTTTAAAAGCCATTAAAACCACTATAGTTTTCCCAAGTACACAGGAGATACAGAGTACAAAGGTGATCCCAAATGCAGTGTGGCGCAGCATGCAGGACCACTCAGATGGTGCTCCAATGAAAGTTAATGAACATAAAAAACACAGAGTGAGAGAGATGAGCAGCAGGAAGCTCAGCTCAGAGTTGTTGGCTCGGACAATTGGAGATGTCCTGTGATAAAAGAATACACCTGCGGTGATAATGGCCAGTAAGGCACCCAGAACTGAGAATGTGGCCAGGATGATTCCTAGGATGTCTTGAAATGAAAGAAACTCTACAGGCTTAGGGATACAGGTGTCTCTTTTTGAGTTAGGCCAGAACTCTTTGTGGCAGGGTAAACAGTCAGCTGAATCT